AATATTTTTTACAACTGATGGTATTTTTTTGAAGCTTTAGGAAAGATACTTTGAAAAAAATTATATCAAAAGAAAGCTGAAGATTTTTTCTTACAAGTATGAAAATTTTAACTAAGATTAATTTGTGAATTTTTGGTGTACAAAATGTACATGTTTCATGCTTTATTTATTTTTACTAATAAACACCCACATTTAGACATTTTTGTCTAATACCATTCTGATCCACACAAGACAAAAATAATCATTATCACCAATTAAAACATGCTCTCCCAAATTTAATTGGTGACACTATTTATTTTCCTATTGTTTTTCATACTATTACTTTAAATAGGATTTCAAATGAAGATATTTGAAGTGTAAATTTATTTTCCCTATTGTTTTTGTTTTTCATACTATTACTTTAAATAGTATTTCAAATGAAGATATTTGAAGTGCTATTTATTCTTCCTATTATAATTATGGTACATATAATAAAAGATTTAGTTGAATCATTCAAGCAAGATGTGATGCAGACACACTTCATGGTGCAAGATGCAATTCATGCAAGGCATATTCATTTGCCACAACAACAAGGATTGAACTCTATACTTGTATTTATTTAAAATTAATAATTTAAAAGAATACAGTAATATATAGATATTATTATAAAGATATTAAAATTTTTTTATGTTTTATTCTTATGATGATAGAATGATTATAATGATATCAGGAAAAGGAGGAAGTGACAAATATTGGATATTTTATACATAATTATTAATATACATAATGGTAGATTCTCTCTACATTTGTTTCTAGTTGTATATATGATCTATTATTATTGTTAGTTATTTTTCTTTTAAATTGTCTTCTGGTAATTAAAATACGGTGAATCTTTTGATAAAAAAAATTTTTTTTGATCCTTTTTTTGGATATATATATATATACATATAAATTGTATAAAGTGATCATTAATGTTCCATGCTATGTTAAACTGTAATTCATAAATATATTTTCTTTACATAATAAAATTTTGGATTCATTACTAATATTATTTTTGAAATTTGGTTGTGATTCTAAAAATAATGACCATATAAATAATTATGAATCAATTTCTTATAATAAAAGTCAAAAATTTTCTAATGCAACCTTCTGAGTGATTATAAACGACTTTGTAAGGAACATTCTGACACAACTATTACTGTCAAGTTTGCTTTATTCTGCGTATTAGTTGGAAGAAAATCTTAAAATATGAAAAAAAGCAACCCTTGCAGCCTGGTGTAGTCTCCTATTTTAATAGTTGTTAGGAATCCCTAATCTGGCTCTAAAAATTTTATTATGATTGAAAAAGTCACTTTTTTTTTTGAAGTTGGCGACAAAAATTTTATTCGTGTAACGGTTATAATGAATCTTATCCAGTATATTACACGAGTTTCAAAAAAATTTTATCTCGTAAAAAAATGTGTATGTATATTTACTATTATATTATTTTAGAGATTTAGGAACAAGTTACTAAATTTACTAATTTAAACACAAGCTTCAGAAAAGAAAAAACCTAATAATACACTTGCAGCACAATTGGCAAAATTGACAAATCCTGCTCCAAAAGGTATAAATTTGTAAATATTTTATAGCAAAAGAGAAATTTTCAAGATATTAATCTTATTAATTAATCAGACATTGATCCTGAAGAATTTGATGAAGCTTTCAAAACCTACGAATTTGATCAAATCAATAATAGTGATGATGATAATGATGATGATAATAATCAAAATAATGATTTAGGAACAAAACATTATATTCAAGTTGGGTATGAACAATTTTTGAGTTTTAATTAATTTATTATACTATATATAAAAAAACAAATTTGATTATGATTTCTAGTGCTAGTAAACTTCGAAATAATCTACAACTCACTTTAGATGATGCAAAATATGTTGGTAAACATTGTACCAGAAAAGATATTTTTGATGTTGTTGATATTCTTGATCAAGATAGTATGAAAAACAATGATTTTGATATAAATAATAGACAGATATCAAAAATGTTTGAAGATCAAGAAATGATCAATGATGTTGGATCATCAAGTATTGGAAGTGATGAAGTAAATGATGATGATAAAGAAATCATTACAGAAGGAAAGAATGATGAGATAGAATTAAATGATATTGATTCTATTCGAAAAGAATTAGTGAAAATTGAAGATGATGAAAGGTTTTTATAATAATCAAACTTTTTGCTTTTTTGTAAAATTTTTAATTAGACTTACTAATAATGATAATTATTGTAGAAACTTATTGAAAAAAATGTCACAGAGTGCTCAAGAAGACATAAATAAGGGTAAACATGTAAAGACACAACTTGTAAGTGTAATAATGAAATAAATTGTAGTTTGGACGATTGTTTTAAAAATTAACAATATTATCTACACATAATAGGGTCTTTGGGATACTTTCCTTGATATGAGAATAAAATTCCAGAAAGCTGTAACAATATCAAACAGTTTTCCACAGGTTTTTGATTATTCATTAAAGAATATATATATGCAATATGCAGTGTTGGCAATTGGACACTTCATTTTTTGATAATTTGGATCTAAATTTAGCCATATGATTGTACAATATACCATTTTGGTAATTTAAATGCCCAATTGCCAACACTGCCAATATGTGAATATGTACCTAACATAAATTTTTCTATTTTAACCAAATAAAATCAGTATAATATGTATTCTCAATTTATAACAACACCAGGCACTAAAGATTTAATCCATGAAACAAAATTTGAATTAAAAGAACTTCTTGATTCATTAATAAATTTACAAAAGGTTGGTCTTAAAATTATTATTTGATTATAATAACTTTATCTTGATTTATAATAATTTATTAATTGATATTTTTTTCAAAAACAAAAGGATTTGTGTATAAACAATGAGAATATAAGTATTTCCAACAATATTGTGATTAATCATAAAAGGCGTCATGGAAATGAAAATGATTACTTGGACTATTTTTGGAATGATATGCAAGAGACTCACAAAAATTTTTTACCATATCGTACACAAACAATCAATAAATGGAATAATAAAGTTCAAATTGCTTCAGGTATTCCACTTAACAAAAAGTTCAAAGCTATTAACCAAAGTGTCAATACACATATTGAACAAATTTTACAGGATCAAGAAAGATTAATTAAAAGAACTCAATTAAAAAGAAATACTGAAAGAATTTTGGGGAAAGTTGAAACCAAACATTACAACAATAATAAAACAAATTCAAAAAAATATGATGAACATTTATCTAATCATGATGAAGAAATATTTGATGATACAGATTTTTATCAACAACTATTAAAAGAATTGATAGATAATCGAATGATTGACACAGGTAATATTAAAAATGATATCATAACTACAACAACAATAATGATAGTAAATAATAACATGACATGCTTGAATTGCAAATTAAATAATCATTATCATTATTTAGATGATCCAGTTGCATCAGGATTGAAATGGGCTGAAATCAAAAAAACCAAACAAAAGAAAAAACCAGTTGACACTAAAGCAAGTAAAGGCAGAAAATTGAGGTAATTTTTATAATTCGAATAAATATATAATTGTTAACCAACCAATTAACTTACTATTGTAAAAAACAATTTAGATATCATATCCATGAAAAATTACAAAATTTCATGGTTCCAATACCAGCTAGTGCATGGCATAAGGATATGATTGATGAATTATATGCATCATTATTAGGCAAAAAATATGAAGCAATTAAAGATGAAGTAAGAGATGAAGATGAAAATGAAAATAAAAATGCAATGAATCAAAAGGATTTTGCAAATAAAAATTTGATAGAAGAAAAAAATAGAGGAACTAAACTAGATGGATTAAAAATTTTTGGATAAATCATTTAATAATAAATATTATTATTTATTTTTTACAAAAAAAACTCTCCTAATACAAATACAATTTAATTTTTATTTGTATTGGCTGAAATATTTTCAATGACATATTCACTACTTTCTTTCAATTGATAAATTGTGAATTTGTTATTAACATCCAATTGTTTATTTAAATCTTTTTTGATTAATCAAATTGATTTTTTAATTCTGCATGATTTTCTTGTAAACTTTTATATTGTTCTGACAAATATTTTGTTCAGGAATTCATGTAAATTGTAGAATGATGTTCATGTTTGTCTTTATTTTTATCTATAGGTTAAATTTTTTGAATTTCTTCATTTACATTAAATCAGAAAACCATGTCACCAATGTTGTTGTTATGGTAATAAATAAAATAATTCTATCTATACATGCAGCCCAAATTGGTTTGGTGATTTCAATGGTCAAAATTATGATGATAGAAAGTAGAAATTAATTACGGCACTCACTATTAAGAACATAAGTGTAACACCCCTTTACGCACGTGTAACCCCTTTTATGACAGTGTCAAAATACTTTGGGCTGCATGTATAATTATAACCAATCAAATTATTCTTTTACACAAATAAATGTGTTTATAATTATAACTAGCCAATTTATTCCTTTTACCCATTAAATATAATATACATACATAAATGTGTTTATAATTTATAACTGACCAAGTTATTCCTTTTACCTATTAAATGTAATATACACACATAAAAATCAGTAACCTGATAAATGATTTTAATATTATATATATACAAATTCAATAATTTTTTTCCTTTACCTGCAAATCCATTGATATTGCCACCAATTAATTTTGGGAGAGCATGTTTTAATTGATGATAACAGATTTTTATTAATTTATGTGGATCAGAATGAATA